GGGGTCCGTGCACACTCTACACGGGGTATGGCTGTGTCAACAGCCTTATTTAACGGCATGAGTGTGGAGGACATATGCACGGTGGCGCAGAGTCCTGCATCGGGTCGGGTATCCGCGGGTACCCGACGGGTGACCTGCAAAAAAGGTGATTTGCTGGTGGTATTTTTTCAAACGCTTTTTTCCGGGTTCGGTTCTGGGTAAAACAAAGATGATGCGGGTCGGGTTGCGGGTGTTGCATAATAAATATATTTAAATAATAATAATTTAGTTTAATGTTTAAATCCTCAGACCTCTCCTCCGCGGGACCGAGCATAATCATAACCTCTGCAGCGCATCTATCTGCTGCTGAGCGCGCCACATTCTGAATGGCTGAGGTGAAGCTCTCTATAGCGGAGAATACAGCATTTTCAATAACTCTTCCTCAAGAGCAAAATCCAACGTCTGGGAGGCTTTTGGTGTCATCCTAGATGGAGAGAATAACCAACATCCCAGGCTTTTTGAGCCAAATATGCAACTGCGTGTGTTAATAATTGCACGTTTTCACTGCTTATATATATGCGGGTTCGGGTCGGGTTGCGGATCTTGTGCCGGCGGGTCGGGTCGGGTTGCGGAACTAATTGGTAATATGTGCGGGTAGCGGGGCGGGTTTGGTATTGCACGTCGCGGGTGCGGGGCGGGAGCGGGTCTTGAAAATCAGACCCGTGCGGGACTCTGCTGTCCACTAACCCTTTTTTCAATAAATGGATGTTTTCAAAGTAAATTCGTTTTTAATAATCGTGATATCAATTATTGACCCAAATAATCGAGATTATGATTTTTGCCATAATCGAGCAGCCCTAATTGAGGCTATGGATCACTCTCTTACCTGGGTGAGCTCATAGGGAACGTCAACAGTGGGATGGTAGCACACGATGGTTTTCCCATCTGAGGTCACACCAATATCCACATTACTAAATCAAAGAAAACGAGAGGTTAATATCCTGATCACAATATCACAAGTACATTTATTAAGTATCTTTATTCCAGAACATTTTAATGTGCTTTCTTCATTTATTTGGTTTAACTGAATACTTTGCTGATGATAAAACCAACAGACAAAGTATACATCCTTCACAGTTCAGACATTACAGTACGAGACAAGGAGCGTATCTAAAGGTGCACTTTTAACACATATTTTTAAATAAGTAATTCAATACGTTCTTACTGGTTATCATCAAGTGAAGGACCACTGGACTTCTGTCGCATTGGCACCAAACATGCTGCAACAGAAAACAAAACAGGTGAGACACACATATATACTGTGGTTTAAAGTAACTAAGTACATTTACTCGTTACCGTACTTAAGTACAATTTTGAGGTACTTGTACTTCACAGACTTTACCAGCTTTGAGAACACTTTAATGATCAAAATCATTATAAAACATATAATATATATTATTCTGAAATGGACCAATCTGCACAATGACTACTTTTACTGTCGCTACTTTAACTATATTTTAATGATAATACTTTTCTACTTTTACTTGAGGAACATTTTGAATGCAGGACTTTTACTGTAACAGAGTATTCCTACACTCTTGGTACTTCTACTTTTACTTAAGTACAAGATCTGAGTACTTCTACTTTTACTCAAGAACAAGATCTGAGTACTTCTACTTTTACTCAAGTACAAGATCTGAGTACTTCATCCCTCTCTGCATAATATCTATAATGCACTAGTTAACAGGACACATTTAGCTAGAAAGTAAACATCACATCACATTTAAAACGCTTTAATCCCTGCACTATGCACACTATAGTCTTTGATGTCAGGGTTTGACGTCCTTGCAAGACACATACTTACAGGTCAAGAAGTAAGATATACTTTATTGAACCCAAATTAGAACCACATTTTGTGACAACAGTGTGTTAAAACAAGGCATTGCACATAGTTCTGAAAAATAAAAAGAGTAGAAAATAAACAAACATAACATATAAACATCTCACATTCATGCCAGAGCAAGCATGCATTAAGGAATACTATTATTCACAGTTATTAGATATATTTTATACATTTGTACAGGTAAAACACAGTTAGCCAAATGCTAGTGTTTACCTTCTGAACACAGTCTCAAGGTTAGCCTCTGTTAGCATTGCTCGCTACACCATTGAGCTAACGGTTATAAACGGTTACAAAAACACCACCTTTAACTTCAGTACTTTCATAAATTGTTAAATGGATAAAAAAAGAACTTACTTTGTACATGTCTTAATGTGGTGCCGTTAGAAAGTCGAGTTAAGAGACTGTGTAGTTTGCATAAATGACCCGACGCCATGCTCAGTTATCAACGGCTGTGCATCAATGAAATAGTTCCGGGTTAGATTCAGTAACTTTGGTTCCACTTGTCAAACGAAGTGAGGAAGCAGTCATTACAAATCCATTACAATTGTACTGTATATACGTGCACATTAAATGTACTACAAGGACATGTTATTGATATTAATTGTAGTATAAATGTACTTGTATAATTGTACATCTGAATTTTCATTTGAATATGCTCTAAAAATAAAACAGTTGAAATAACAAATAAACAGCAATGTTCAGATCAATTACTTATTTATTGTTTAAATAAAGGTGAATGTATTATTGTGTTCAGAACACTCTATAAGCACAATATGTTACATCTATTAAATAATGGCTGTCTTTTCAAACTGAAATGGTCTCGACGTCCTCTACAGTGGACATACTGTAACATTTAAAAATTAAATTAAATTAAAAAAGGTAGGAATAGATAGGAAATACAAAATAAAGAGAATTAGAAGACGCATTTTTTCCTCGGTTCCCAGGAGGATATGTAAAAGTCCAGCCTTTTTACCCAATCCTATCATTTGAACATTATTTTTGACACCTGCTTACTATACTATATGCTTGAACAAACTATTTATTTT